AAAGCCAATGCCTAGGCGATCATCTGATATGATTCGAATCCACAGTTGTGTTGTAAGGCGAGCAAAGTAGACGTTTCCTGGTAATCCTGTGTGGGTAACTAATACAATGTCAGGTTCAGCATGACCACGGAGGCCATGCAAAGGTCCTGGGCACTGACATCTGACTCAGTGGGGTGCACTTGTCTGAGAGCAGCCCGAGGAAAAGCCACACAAGAGCACTAAGCACAAGCACAAATTACCCCCAAAAGAATCACCAAAAAAACTTTTTATTTTTATGTTATTTAATAACACAAAGAAGATTCCCCTCAACCTGACTTTAAGAATTGTTAGAAAATATTCTATATAGCTAAATAAATATGGCCGAGTAGGAATGCTTTTTTTAAAATTTTGTATGTTACAAGGCTACCCCTTGCTTCATTGTCCCCCATTCTCCCCTTCCATTGGCATTTTGAGAAATGGATATTACATGGAAAAGGTCATACATTTTTCTAAAACAAAATTTCTGGTATGTGTTTAGACGATGAACAATACAATTTTGTGGTGAGATGAGGCATATGGAAAGGTGGAATGTGAGAGATGGCTGTGAGACAGCCACACCCACGGGAGCCGTGCCCACGGGAGCCGCAGCCCACTGAGGGCTCCCACACCCCGCCCGTGTTCACACACCCTGTCAGCAGTGTCAGGTCTGCAGAATGAGCTCACTAAATCACGCATTATATTCGCCATATGTCTGTATTTAATGTCATCTTCATATATGAGCGTAAAGAAAAAATACTCTGCTTTATAAGTGCGCTGTCTTCCATCTTCGCTTGTAGAACTCTTTCCCAACCCCACATCAAACCCTGTCAGACCATTCTCTTGAATTTGACTCGAGTGTGGACATTCTCCTCACATACACACACAAGCACAGACAGATACTAAATGTCCACAGATGTTTTAGCACCTAAAAATTTTCTTTTTTCAAAAAGCCAATATACATGGGGATATTTTTCAGGTACAAGAAACTCTGGAACTTTTTATTCGAACTACTTTGGAAGAAAATCCCTCTCAGGTGCATTACTCATTTTCCTTCATCGTGATCAGATTATCACTGCTTTTCTTGATGGGTCAGGCCACGACTGTAAACAAACACTACTGTCTCTGAGAAGAGTAATGCTCTTGAAGATGAGTACCGGCATGGGCAGCATTTATTCTAGCAGCAGGAACACTCATGCTTGCATTATTTTGCAGCTTGTTTTACTTTTTTAGTTCAAGTATTTCACTTATTCTACTTTTTTTTTAATACCTTGCACTATCTCTGCTTCCAGCTCATTTTGCCCAAACCAGGAGTTGATTGATAAAATGTTGAAGCGACATTTAAAATAGGCCACAAGTATGCCTCTGAGAGTTGCTAAACTTTGTTATCTTTCTGTGCTTAGTTTTGGCTATTCAAGTCTCCCTCTCTTTTAGGACCTAGAGTCCATAGAAATGAGATTGCTATATGTATAGGTTTTATGAAAAAAGAATTTGTATCCACTTTGAAAGATATGATGGTTTCTGAAAGGTCTTTGAGGAGTCTTAGCCCAGTACATTGAAGAAAATGGCTATAGAAACAAAGAACTGTAGGGTGAAGGAATGGATGGTGGAAGAGGGGTGCTACCAAGATGTATTGTGCTGGGAAATTCACACGTTGAATGGAAAGAATAAAAGAATAAGAACTCATCTTCCTCACCTAGATTCAATTCACCTGTCACATCCTGTTTGCTCACACGTCTGTCACATTATACATTGTGCTAGTGTAATTAGCTCAGTACTGGATAACTGATGTTTGCACACAGGATGTAAGGCAAATTAGGGGCGACTCACACTTCTCAATTTGCTACTATAAAAATACAGTATTCTACATTTGTTCTTGCTTGGAAATACTGTGAATATAGAACTATATTAGGTGAATATAGAAATATATAGAAATATACATTTCACATGTATTGAAATCAGAAGCAGGTAAGAGTAAATGATGACCACTGACACTAGTCAGGTTGACACTAGTGTATATATTTTGAAAACTCCTTAATATTATATATACCAGGATTCAGCTTTCATCACTAAACTGCATGCCATGTTAAATCTCTGGTCCAGTGCTTGGGGAAATTAGTAATAAATAAGATTTCTTGGACTCGTCACTATTAAGATGCGTGGGAGTTTTGCTGACACACATATAATTTTTAATGTAGATAATGAATACAGATAATTAATGTTGAGTGAGCAATCAGAACGCCAAACAAACCCACTGTTCACATACAAAAATGAAGACAATGTGAAGTCCTATCAACTTCATTTTTTTTAGAAGATTAAGCTGCTTTTGGATATGCTTAATCTATAACCAAAAGTTTAGTGATATTGAAGAAAGTAAGGCAAGTCTAGGCAATATAAATCTTATTGCAAAGTAATATATGATTTCAGCATGAAAATCATTGTGACTCCAAAGAAAGTTAATGGTGAATAAATGTTTATGGATGATTAGTTTATGGACAATAGAATTGTACAGCAAATAGTACTAGTATTATGGATAATTTGATATACTGTTATTACAAACAGCCCACTTTATTAGATTCTGAGATTCACTTCAGTTGTTTTGTCGAATTTTCCGAACACATTATGAAGAAGTACAGGTATCAATCTTATCGTATGTTCGATTAGCAATGCTTTTTAAAATTAAAGATTAACTCTACAGCAGGACAGTTGTTCTTGGCTTTCTCACCCACTCGGGCACAGCCCGGTGACCCGTGGCCACTCCCGTCTGTCTGTCCTGATTCTGCTCCATGCCTCATGGCACTTCAGACAACCATCTCCTCCCTGCTTCCTTTCCCTCCTGTCCCTAGCTTTTGATGCAAGGGACATTTGATTTCACTTTTTGGTAATGTTGGGATTTATCCTTTGACCAAAATCCTATACTTACTGTTTTTAGTTAAGTTTGAAAATTTTTCTTTAGGTAGCTCTACAAAGGGGTTTCAATTCAAAATTTGAGTATCACCCCTGCGATTGCTCTCCCGTTGTCCTCACAGGTTTCCCCGTGCCCGTTACCTGGTTCATTTACACAGGTGCACACTGCCCAGGCCGTTTTCCTCTCTGGACCCCTGATCTCCCACCCCGCTTCCCGGTATTCATTGTGTTAAACTAAATTCAACTGTGCTCAAAGGACTCGGCACTGGATTCCTCCCCTGGTCGACCTGTACTTCAGTCAGATCATTTGTGTATCTATGCAAACGACTCTGTACATGTTGTTACACATGTGTATAATTCAGTCTGACTTTCACATAGAAGTCAGGCTCAGAAAGACATGGTATTTGCTTGCTTGCTTTTTATTCTCACTGCTCCCAGAAAGCAAATGCTCACTCTGTTTCAGAAACAGCACAGCTTCTGAAATTCATTTTGGAGGCAAGTCTGGGTCCCCAGGAAGCACTAAAACAGCTCAAACTGGCGGGTGAGCCTGGGTGAGCTCAGTAAAGGTGTGCAGACACACAGCATCTGCACACTGTGGAAGCACATGCTTTCCAGATGGCAGCTGCCCATTTCCATGCCCATACCCCTTCACGTTCAGAGTACTGTGAATAGTTAGCTCTGCCTCATTAAAACCTGAGGCCACACCAGGATTCCCTTGGGGATTAAGGACTGCAGAAGAAATGAAGGTTTTTTTTTTTGTTTTGTTTTAAATACCACCAAACCCATCAACTACAAGAGACACAATGTTCTGTATCAGTGGAACCACGCTAGGGGACTGACCAAGCAGGACTTTCCCTGACCATGCATTAAAGCTCAGACATTCTGAATAACAATGCGAGATAAAATATGCACTTGAAGACATCATTATTTTACAGCTCTTCGGCTTTATGAGAAGACAATGACTGGATGACAAATAAAAGAAAACCTTTCTGATTCATAGTAACATTAAGAGAGGAGTCTTTAAAAACCAAACTTGTATCTGTACAGGTAATGAAGAAGATTTTTCTTCACTCTTGCCAATGTTTATAATTTTTCTACAACGACAAATAGGCCACATGACAAATACAACTATTGTGGCTCCATACATATAGGGCAGCAAGCAAAAGTGTGTGTAGGTTTTGCTTCTCTGTGTAGTTCTGATGGCTAAAGGCATCTAAAGGGAGGGATCAGCGTGCGTGTGTTATATGCGTCGCTGCTGAGCTGCTCCTGAGTCAGAAGGCAGGTAGAAAAAGCCCGGCCTCAAGTGATTTAGGGAGAGTCAGCCCCTGCTTGGGGTGCACGGCACCAAAGGAGCTCCGAGTTCTTATCAACAACGCAGAGGAGACAGTAGAGACTGTGTTATTCCCAGAATCACCATAGAATACAATTTCAAAATTCATTCAAAAGCTCTGTACTGGTGATCACACCTGTAATCCTAGCTAGTCAGGAGACTGACATCTGAGGATCGTAATTCCAAGACTCCTATCTTCAATTTACCACCAAAAAGCTGTAAGCAGAGCTGCGGCTCAAGTGATAGAACACCACTAGCCTTGAATAAGATAGCTCAGGGACAGTGCCCAGAGCCAGAGTTCAAGTTCCAGTATCCATAAAAAGAAAGAAAGGAAGGAAGGGGGGGAAGAGAGAGAGAGAGAGAGAGAGAGAGAGAGAAAGAGAGAGAGAGAGAGAGAGAAAGCGCAAATAGATTTGAATTGGATAGCAAGGAGCATTTGGCAAATGGTGAACAAAGTACACTTTATCCTTTGTGTGAGCACACACACACATGCAGACACGCAAAGAGGACTAAGGCATCATGCACACACACGAAGGTGGACACAAATACATGTGTGCATGTGTATGAAGTATGTGTGTGCAGAGAGTACACGCAGCAGGTTGTCTCAGGCTCAACAGCGAGTACCCACAGTGTATTGTCCACACCACATAAGGATACAGCAGTGGCGTTGCCGCTGAACCCTGGGACACAGATACTTGCAAGCCTTTTTTAGTTTCAGAATGACTTGTAAAAATACCCTACTTCTTACCTACATTTCCAGTCATTAAGTATGAATTCTGGAAATCCATCATCCCCACTCCAACAACGTGTATAAAATCTTCAATCACCTGCATCAACTCGATTGAGCCTGGATAAATCTAGAAAAACAAACAGGAAAGAGTTAGATGGGATAGAAAGTTTATAAAGTGGGAAACAGAACTGGAATGAGAAGAACTCCACAGGATGAGGTCACGCATGAGCTTTGTTTTATCTGAGCAAGGTCAACAGTGGGCAGCAGCTGCATTTTTCAAGTTCATAGTTGACAATGATACTAGGAGTCACCCACAAGAACCTGGGTGGGCACGCAGTGTTCATTAACCCTCTGCGAATCTAAGGACACAGAAAGTGTCTAGCAGATGGTGTGCTTTATTTCTGGTGGACTCCTCCTCCCACTCGCGCATAACATCACAGATCCTGAAATCAGGCCCTTGACACCTTTATTTTAGTATCCATCTGGGGACAGGGCCGGGTGCCAGAGGCTCACACCTGCAAGACTAGCTACTTGGGAGGCTGACATCTGAGGATCATGGTTTGAAGCCAGCCTGGGAAGAAAAGTCTGTGAGCCTCTTATCTCCAACTCACCACCAAAAAGTCAAAAGTGGAGCTGTGGCTCAAGTAGTAGAGCACCAGCCTTGAGTAACCAAGGTGAGCAAGGTGGGAGGGCCTCAGTTCAGGCTGCAGTGCCGTCAGAGCAAAGAAAAATATGGGCGTCACAGGAAGAGGGAAAAAACAATGGTTACTGCTATTACAAAACTATCCACAAATATTAAATGTACTGCACGTTAGGATCTTGAATCAGAAACATTTATTTCTAATAATTATGATCATCAAGAATGAGGAACACATTTAGGTCTGTACTCATAGTTTCAATGTGGACAGTTTACATTGAGCATACAAAAAGCAAATCTACGGCGAGACGCAGCAGAACCTATAGAAGGATGGCTGCAGGTGCCGTCACTGCCACTGCTGCTGAGCGTGGCAGCAGGGGTCTCAGAGCTCACCAGCTATCAGCTGTCTACCTGAATGATTAACCTCCTCCAGCCTCTGTCTGCCTTAGGCAGAGCTCTGCCTGCAGGATCCCAGGGAGACTTCTTCACACCCCACCCTGTACTGCCCCGCCCCACCCCGCCACGCCCCGCCCAAGTGCTGGCGCCACACTATACCAGGCCATGTGGTGGGTGACAGCTACCTGTAGTGTTCACAGCAGAGACCGCTTCAAAGGGCATGTGGATTGCGTCCCGTGTAACCCGTAAAGCTTAAAAAGCTGCCTGTGCTAGGTAACTAGGTAGCAGAGCAAGAATTCTGTACACGTTGGGTTACAGCTGCTGTGGGTTCTAATCACGAGAGAGGATGTGCGTTAGAGAGCCGAGCTGCTCTGTGTTCCTGTCAGGAGGGGCAGAGGGAAGCAAGGCCACAGCTGAGACCAGGAGAGGAAGAGCCGCTGGGCAGAGCCGGCCGCAGGCATGGGCTAGGGTCTCCCAGGGCTTTGTGGCTAAGCTCATGGAAAAATCAGACCCTAGGCATCTGGAGGGGAGGGATGAGTTGGGAGAGAAGGGGAACACTGTAGACTGTCCTCACACACTGACACACCAAATTGCATAACTATGTACTTTGTAAGTAACATTCCCCTCTCCAAGTTTTGACTCTGTCCACTGTGAGCTACTGGACACTTCAACAATGGGTGTTTCCCTTTAAAACTTGGGGTGAAGATAACCCAGAAAGAATTGGGAAATCAATCACATTTGTTTCCTATGCTTTGATCTCTAAACATGAATTCTGGAAGGTCAGTGTCCTCATTTCAAGAATGAGAATATGTTTCTTTTGGCCCTAAAGTTTCCTAATATTAATGTATGTGTCCTCTTTTCTTTGTATGAATAGGTGTAATACACAAATGAATTAAAAATAAGAATCGTGTGTCTCATGTTGTGATCCTACTCTGGAAGCTAAGGATCATAGTTTGGCAGAAAAGTTCACCAGATTCCAACTCCAAAGTACTCAGCAAAGAGTCAGGATGGTGGTGTGACTCATGTGGTAGAGTGCAAGCCAGCAAGGCTCTGAATTCAAACCCTATTACTAGAAAAACAAACAGGCTACAGTGGATTTCTTCAATAGAACAATGAAATACAAAGAATATATGGCTGAGACCTTATTTGGTGTCAAAAACAGAGCTATGGAAAAGCATCTTTCTCAATTCAGGAGGACATGCTCGTATGACAATGTTTTATATAAACATTTTGGTCCTTCATAACAAAGGCAGATGTTCTGAACTGGCTCTCTATATATAAAGATATATAGTTTGATTGCAAAAATAATTTCAACCAGTCAGTTTTCCAAATCCACAGTTAGCTCCATTTTATGTTTCAGACTTTCCTGCCCCAGCTGGTTTTGAAACACCACCCTTAGATCTCAGCCTCCTGAGTAGCCAGGAGGACCGTCATGAGCCACTGATGCCATGTCTATTTATGGTATTCCCCCCTCCCCCCGTCCTGGGCCAGGGCACTGTCCTTCAGCCTCTTTGTGCTCAAGGCTGGTGCTCTACCTCTTGACTCACAGAGCCACTCCTGGCAGTTTACTGGTAATGTGAGTCTCATGGACTTTTCTCCCTGGGCTGGCTTTGAACCACGATCCTCAGATCAAACAGCTCCTGGCTGTTTGTGATAAATTTTAACTATCTTCGCCTTTTGTTGATAAGTTTTTAACCAGTCCACCTGTTGTGAAATCACTTTTAGGAGCAGCTAGAGAATGTATCTTTTAAATAGTCATTTTTTTAAAGAAAAGCAATAAGGATTACTACTTCTAAAAAAATTAGTTTTTCAATGAAAATAGAGCTAACTCCCAATCACTGCTCTGGTGGATTGTGGATTCCAGTCTTAGCACCATTCTCTATTTGCTCAGAAAGCCCTATGTGGCAAACGCAGCCTGGTGTGCAACAGAGAGTCATACATTTCTTCTAAATTCGTCCATAATGCATGGTTTCCAGAAATCCAGAAAGCTGTGCGCAGCCCCCACAGCTGGCTCTTCTCATGGTGAGTGAGTGAGGTGTCGGGATGCAGGCCCAGGCCCCATAAGCAGCTCAAACCAGCAGGAAAGGGCAGACCAGGGACTGAAACTGAGGCATAATTTTATTTCCTTTGCTACGGCCAGAAGGACATAGATTCTACCTGATGATGACAACTTTGTGTGTGTGCATCTGCATGTTTGTATGTGCACACACACACACACATACACACATACACACACCAGTACTAGAGCTTAAACTCAAGGACTAGACATTGTCTCTTAGCTTTTTCACTCAAAGCTGGTGCTCCCCCCGCCCCCTTCAGCCGTGCCTCACTTCCAGGATTTTGCTGGCTAATTGGAGATGAGGGTTTTATGGGCTTGCTGGCCAGACTGAACATCCTTAGACCTCAGCCTCCTGATAGCTAGGGTTACAGGAATGAGGCACTGGTGCCTGGCTTCCACTGTGGGTTTATAAGCACTGCTGAGTACCCTTCCTGTGCTGATCTGTAACCTGCTGTCCTGAAGCTCGGGAGATGGTCTCCCACCCATGCGCCAGCCAGTGCGGCACCGAGGGCACTGCCAGGCCAGCGGAAACAGGGGTGCCACTGGCAAGGACTCCTCTGCTGCGCAAGTGCGCGCACGGAAGGCAGAACTCAATCAATGCTCAGATCACATGCTCCCAAGAAAACTCAGTTTACAGCTCTTGTCGCTAAATAAAGATGCACCTCTGTAGATACGACCCAGATTTTATAGGCTATCAAATCAGACACCTATGATTTTTGTCAGTAAAGACATATACTTTTGTTTTGATGGATGCTTTTGGGGTTTCTAATTTTCCCATTGTCTGTAGACAGGAAAGGAATGGGTTACAAAAGCATATGGTTATTATGCACACATCCGTTAAAGTTAGAAATCGCTTAAACCTGCGCAGCGTTTCCATGTGTATAAACACCATTTGTCTGGCAGAGCATTATAACAGATCATGTGTTTTCTCTGAAAGTATGATTTAATCATCTAAAATGATTTTGGGGTCGGTACTGGGGATTGAACTCAGGCCCTGCCCTCTTTCCTGGCTTTATGCTCAAAGCTGGTGCTCTATCACTTGAGCCATACCTCCATTTTCAGATTTTTTACTGGCTAATTAGAGATAACATTTTCATAGACTGGCTTCCAACCACGAACCTCAGATCTCCCCTTCCTAGACAGCTAGGATTAAAGGTGTGAGCCCTAGCACCCAGCCTCTAGGTGACTTTTCAAATCCTTTCACCTGCTGAGCATAGCAGGTCATTAACGTCTCCATGCATGTCTTACACTGAATTCAACTGTGCTTATTGTAAACTTTCAAAACCCCCACCTTACCTGCTGTGCATCTTCCCATTTTTCCTTGTTTTCTTCATCTAGAAGGTTGCTAACTATTTGAAAGAAGTTCTGTAAATTAAATTAGATAAAGTAGTTTAGTATTGCAGGCAAGAATATACTTTCTGACAACCCCCATTTGGAATGAGTATGTGGTAATGCCATAAGAACATTGTAGTATTCCCTTACAATCTCAACATACTCTAGGTCTCTGCAGTGCCCTTTGCTGTACATCATTCTAGAATTCCTGCACAGCTTTATATCTTCATCCACTCTGGGAGCAATGATAGGAAATCTTTTCTTTACTATCATTTGTCCTATTACAATCTCTATATGCAAAGCAGTAGACAACTGTATAGTAACTCCTCACAAACGTGTTTTATTCTTTCTGTAAGGAGAGTTGCCTGTGTTTGTCCTGTCGCTGGTTTTCCTGTCCACTTAAAGCCATGATTGCTATGACTTTCATGATTGTTCCAAAGACCACTACAGAGAGCCCTGGACTCTGGGCAAAGCTGAGGAGCCAACAGCTCCTTTGGACGGAGGGAGCTCTTCTCTTTCTTGCTACTCTACTTTTAGTTTTGCAGAAGGTATTGAGAATGTTCGATAAAAATGTGCTTTATCAAAGCTGTTTTTAATGATGTTACTGGAGAATGTGCTCTTTCCGGATGATGCTTGGGAAACTAAAAAATATATCACAATGGAAAGAAAGAGAGACATGGAGAAGGAAGGGAGGGAGGGAAGGATAGAGGGAGGAAGGGAAGAAGGGAAGTTTCTGGGGAAAAAAAGCACATTAGCACGTGTGAAATGCTTAATAAACTTATTCTCTCTTTCTTACACACACACACACACACACACACACACACACACACACACAGAGCATGCCTGCGATTTAAACTCAGAGCCTCATGCTTGCTAAGCAGATGTTCTACTACTTTGAGCCACAACTGTTTCTAGCTTCTTGCTGGCTCATTGGAGACAAAAGTCTGAAGGACTTTCTTGCCTGAACTGGCTCTGAACTGCAATCCTCCTATCTCAGCTTCCTGCACTGCTAGGCTCACAGGTGTGAGCAGCCAGTGTCCTGCTGACACCATGGACTGCAGAGATGGAGTCTGCTCAGTGGCGAGTGGCATCTGTCCTTGGTCTCCAGCCTTTCTTCCTGTGTGGAGGTAACTCAGGAGCAAGGCTTCCTGCTCTCCCGCCAGCTCAGGGCAGCTCCCCTGAGGTGGAAATGGTCACTTTCAGTCTCATCTCTCCCTCTCCTTCTCACTTTTCAAAACTGGGTTTTGTTCTAATTCCAAGTAAGTTCACCTGAGTGTTGTTTCACAAAATCAAAGCTGCTTCATTTTCTTGGATCTTGTGATCTGGAAGACTCTGGCATCTATATTTAATTGCCCTATTTTAACAGTCCCCAGCAATCACATGGTAGAAACATGTTTGGAGCTATAACCTCTAAAAGTTTCAGAGTCTTTGGTGCAGCTCTTTTGAAAAACAAAAACAAACAAAAAAGACTACAAGTCTTTCTTTTAAACACATTTTCTACTTGTTTAACTTTGTGGCACTAACAGCCCTCTTTCCACTTGGAATGCCTTGCTTGGAGTGTTTCCATCTTGAGGGCCTTGTCCAGCATTCTGTTACTCTGCCTGTAGGCAGAGGACTGACTTCCAGGTTGGGCTTCCCGGTTGTCCCTGGCCAGTTGGCTTAGCGGGGGATGTGCTGTCATGGGCCGGTACGGCTCTGCCTCTGGGGCTCTGTGGGGATAACTGTGGGGAAACAGAGTCATCCTATCCCTCCTGCACATGAATGCCTGCCCCTGGCAGATCCTAACACAGGCCCAGATTAAAGAACTGAGCTGGGAGGAAGGAGGCCGGGAACAACTCAAAACCCAGTCCTGAGAAGAAGGGGAGACACTCAACCTTCCAGAAACTAGATGAGTACACAAACAACAAGAAAATACAACAGCCAACTGAACTACTAAAGAAGGAGAGGCGGGAGATGAGAGTGATTCCACACAGAGATGGAAGGCAGGGAGAGCTCATGACCCTGAAGCAGCACACGGCTAGGAGCCTGGGCAATGGGAGGAAGGACTTGGAGCACGGTGAGGACCAGCAGAGCTGCGACAGTCAAGGACAGTGAGAAGCGCTCTGCAGTTGGCAAGGGGCAAGCAAGAACTGCGGACTCAGTCGAAAGATCCCATCTGTGTCTAGCAGAATGAGGGAGAAAAAAATAAGAGCTGAAAGTCTGATGAATGCACACAAAACTCCCAGCAGACCAGACCAGAGATGTACTGTTAAAACAGGGGCGGTGCAAAATAAGCAAATAATATTGAAAGCAGCAAAATTAGAGGGAACCCACTTAGAATGGAAAGAGCAATGGAATATCTGCAGATTGCTCAATGGAAGCTCTCAGTGCATGAAGAGTCTGGAAAGATAGAAGTCCAACTCTGAAGGATAATCCATGTCTACTCAGGCCAGTTTACCCTGAGAGGGTCTCACAGAGAAACAAACACATGATCTTACATCTAAAGGACTGGAGCCTGCACCCCAACCTCACTGGGTCTGAAGAGTAACTGACAAGGGAACAGCATGCAAAATCAACACACAAAGCCAGAAGCTTTTCTCTACACCAACAATGCACAAGCAGAGAGGGAAACCAGGAAAGCAATTCCATTTGCAATAGACTCAAAAAAATAAAATATTTAGGGATAAATCTGACCAGGGAAGCAAAAGCTCTCTATAGTGAGAAGTATAAAAACCCGAAGAAGGAAATCAAAGATGATGTCAGGAAATGAAAAGGCCTCCGTGCTGGTGGATAGGTAGAATGATCTCCCAAGACTGGCTGTCCTGCCAGAGGCTCGCTACAACTTCAATGTACCCCATCAAATTCCCAGTGCTATTCTTCACAGAGAAAACAATCCAAAAACAATCCAAAAATTCATATGAAACCACAAGAGACCTGCAATAGCCAAAGCAAAAAACAAAAACTTAACCAAAACAAAAACAAAAACAATTCTGGAGGCATCACAATCTCAGACCTCAAATTTTACTATAGAACTATCATAACAAAAACTGCTTGGGACTGACATATAAACAGGTATGAAGATAAAATGAAATAGACCAGAAGATTGATAAACAAACCCATCTATGTACAGCCCTCTCATATTTGACAAGAGAGCCAAATATATGTTTGGGTTTCTTAAATAGGAAAACTGGTCTTCACATGTAGAAGACCAAACCGGACCCCTGTCTGTGGCCTCACACTGACGTCAGCTCAGACTGGACCAAAGACCTCAGGTCAGATCTGAAACCCTGCAGTTATGGCAGGAAGGAACAGAAGAAGCTAGAACCCACTGTCATGGGCAGGAACCTTCGGAGTAGAGTTCCCAGGGCTCAGCACACAGAAGAGAGAAGAAGTGGAATTATATCAGAATAGAAAGTTCCTTCACATCCAATGACAAAGTTATGAACTGAAAAGGCAGCCTTCAGAATGGAAGTCTTCACCAGCTACAGATCAGATGAGGGCCTCATATCCAGAATATAAAAGGAGCTCAAGAAACTAACCCTCCTGAAATGGATGGACCTGGAACAAATCATGTTAAACGAGGCAAGCCAAGTTCAGAGAAAGAAAGGGGGCGCATTTTCTCCAATAGGCAGAAGTTAGATCTAAAATACACTGAAATGTGGTAAATTACACAGGGTTCTAGAGACTCATACACACAGTGAGGCCAAATGAGGAAAACACAAAGCAATGCCCATGTGCCTCTTTATGTTTATATAAAATATTATATGCATATACTGAAACAAATTCCAAGACATGAAACCAAGAGAGCCTTATTAAACTTTGTGTTTGATAGTTTTGTGTCTTTTGTTTACGTATGGTTTATTTGTGTCTCTGAGGGGGAGGAGAGGCACAAAACTCAAGGGGAAAGGGGTGAGGAACACAGCCGTGGTACTCACTGGACGCTGTGATGAAGGTGAGCTGCACAACTCGTGGGGGAGATGGGATGGAGGGGCTGGGAGAGAGCGAGGGAAGGGGAGAGAATATACAAAGGGAAATGTCCTCATTATCTGACTTCTGTAAGTGCATTCCCTCTGTAATCACCTTTATAGTAGCAATAAAGTAAATTAAAGAGAAACTAACCCTAAAACTTAATAACACATTAGTAATGGGCAAAGTGGCTAAACAGAGACTTCTCAGGAGGAGGGAGGACAAATGAGGAAATGCTTAACTTCCTAGACTATAAAGGAAATGTAAATCTAAACAACATTGAGTTAGACTGGCCATCACTCAGAACACAAAAAACAATAAATGCCGGCAGGGATGTGGGGAAAAGGAGCCTGTTAAACTGTTAGTGGGAATGGAAACAGTGTATCCACTCTGGAAGGCAGTCTGGAGACTCCTCAGAAGACAGACCTGGGACTGACTGTGATCCTGGGATCGAATCAGAGCAGTACACGCCAGGACACCGTAAGACACCTGCACACCCATGCTCACTGCTGCACTATCCACAACAGCCAAGAGCTGCAAACAGCCCAGATGCCCCACAACAGATGAGTGAATCAAGAAAATGTGGTGCATATACACCATGGAATTTTACTTATCCACCAGAAAGAATAATACTATGACATTTGCAACACAATGATGGACCTAGAAAAATTACATAATGTGAAGTCAGGCTCAGAGTGACAAATGGCACATGTTTTCCTCATATGTGGGGAGTTGGATCTAAAATCTGCACAGACATATTTACACATGCAGCATTATACCCATATCCACACATGCACAGTCACCAAGTGGCAGTATGTTTGCGGGGAGAGTCCAATGGGGAAGCCTCACTCCTCTGAACCACAAACCACTCCACAAAATGAAGATCAGGAAGCTGACACATGTTGGGGGCAGGCAGCTACGAGGGGGAGTGGGCATGCATGAAGGGAGGAGAGCAAGCAAATGCAGTCATTATATTCAGTGTACGCTATGTAAAAACTGACCTAAGGAAGCTCCAGAAGTACTACTAAGTGGGTATGGTAGTACATACCTGAAATATAGCCCTCAGGAGGCAGGAAGGTTTGTGAGTT